ATAGGTGATCCAAAAACCATTTTTCTCTGGCTTTGAGGGGGAAAAACTTTCAAAACACACACACACACACACACACACACACACACCTGTCTGGGTCCCATGAGACATCCTTCCACAGTTCACAAACTTGCAGGACAAAATAGATTTATATTTAAAAACTTGGGAAAATTAAAACCCTCAGGGGTCTCCAGGGAAAAAAATTGTACAAATGGCGAGCTACACTAAGAAGGTCCTCTCTCTCTAGCCACTTCTTATCACAGTTTAGTATTAATTTAGATATCTGGGATTGATGAGTTCTCTACTTCCTATCTTAATTTTTTTTTAAAGGAAGAAGAAATGGTAGTAAAGATATTTCGGAAACTTAGTTTGAAGTATTGTCTTATTTACAACTAGCTCGATACCCGTGCTTTGCTACGAAACTATGTGGTCGGGCTTAGTTTTGGGGGAGGAAAATAAGGGGAAAAAATACTGCCTCTGCCTACCAGCATCCATCTGTATTCATCTGGCTAGCGTCCTGTCAGTGTGTGAGAGAGTTGATAGCTGTTTGGAAACTGAAACAGTATTTGATGTCTGAGCAAGGAGACAGCAAGGAGTCTGGACATGGCTTAGCTCAATCGTTCTGCACTCAAGCTGGTTGCTGCTGTGAAACTAAAACTGAAACTCCTCTCCTCTGCTTGTGTTTTGCATTTGGAACAGTTTTCTTTTCAGGTGGGGAGGGGGAGTAGAACTCCTTAGCATCAGAGCGTGTTAATAATAATATACAAAATACTCATGCTCTGATGGTCATTTCGAAAAATCCTTTCTTAGTGAGCACCTAGAAGCCAAGAGGAACATATGTGCCAAATTTCAAGTTTGTAGGCTTTACAGTATATACACTGCTCAAAAAAATAAAGGGAACACAAAAATAAGACATCCTAGATCTGAATGATTGAAATATTCTTATTAAACACGTTGTTCATTACATAGTTGAATGTGCTGACAACAAAATCACACAAAAATTATCAATGGAAATCAACCCATGGTTAGCAACCCATGGAAGTCTGGATTTGGAGTTACACTAAAAATTAAAGTGGGAAAAAACACTACAGGCTGATCCAACTTTGATGTAATGTCCTTAAAACAAGTCAATATGAGGCTCAGTAGTGTGTGTGTGGCCTCCACGTGCCTGTATGACCTCCCTACAATGCCTGGGCATGCTCCTGATGAGGTGCTGGATGGTCTCCTGAGGGATCTCCTCCCACACCTGGACTAAAGCATCCCCCAATTCCTGGACAGTCTGTGGTGCAACGTGGCGTTGGTGGATGGAGTGAGACATAATGTCCCAGATGTGCTCAATCAGATTCAGGTCTGGGGAATGGGTGGGCCAGTCCATAGCATCAATGTCTTCGTCTTGCAGGAACTGCTGACACACTCCAGCCACATGAGGTCTAGCATTGTCTTGCATTAGGAGAAACCCAGGGCCAACTGCACCAGCATATGGTCTCACAAGGGGTCTGAGGATCTCATCTCGGTACCTAATGGCAGTCAGGCCACCTCTGGCGAGCACATGGAGGGCTGTGCGGCCCCCTAAAGATGTGCCACCCCACATCATTACTGATCCACTGCCAAAATGGTCATGCTGGAGTATGTTGCAGGCAGAAGAACGCTCTCCACGGCGTCTCCAGACCCTGTCACGTCTGTCACATGTGCTCAGTGTGAACCTGTTTTCATCTGTGAAGAGCACAAGGTGCCAGTGGCGAATTTGCCAATCTTGGTGTTCTCTGGCAAATGCCAAACGTCCTGCACAGTGTTGGGCTATAAGCACAACCCCCACCTATGGATGTCAGGCCCTCATACCACTCTCATGGAGTCTGTTTCTGACCGTTTGAGTAGCCACACGCACATTTGTGGCCCATTGGAGGTCATTTTGCAGGGCTCTGGCAGTGCTCCTCCTGTCCCTCCTTGCACAAAGGCGGAGGTAGTGGTCCTGATGCTGGGTTGTTGCCCTCCTACGGCCCCCTCCACATCTCCTGATGTACTGGCCTGTCTCCTGGTAGTGCCTCCATGCTCTGGACACTACGCTGACAAACACAGCAAACCTTCTTGCCACAGCTCGCATTGATGTGCCATCCTGGATGAGCTGCACTACCTGAGCCACTTGTGTGGGTTGTAGACTCCATCTCATGCTACCACTAGAGTGAAAGCACTGCCAGCATTCAAAAGTGACCAAACCATCAGCCAGAAAGCATAAGAACTGAGAGGTGGTCTGTGGTCACCACCTGCGGAACCACTCCTTTATTGGGTATGTCTTGCTAACTGCCTATGCTTTCCACCTGTTGTCTATTCCATTTGCATAGCAGCATGTGAAATTGATTGTCAATCAGTGTTGCTACCTAAGTGGACAGTTTGATTTCACAGAAGTGTGATTGACTTGGAGTTACATTGTGTTATTTAAGTGTTCCCTTTATTTTTTTTGAGCAGTGTATATAAGATTTCCTGTTTAGTTTTCAGTTAACAATATGTAGATATCTGCTAGAAATTTATTCACTTTAATGATATGTTTGACATAGAGGTGAAGGACCTTTATTGGACAAAGTTTTTTGGACAACTTTGGACCTTTATTGGACAACTTTTCTCCTTGCGTACTTCAAGGAAGCTGAGGTATTTCCTGGTATATCTCATGAAAACTGGATATCATTAATGACTATCTTCCACACCTCTTGGACTTGTCTCTTCCACCAACACCAGCTAACTGTGTGATCTTCTGTGCATGGGCAAAATAACCACCATTGTAGAGAGAACTGGCTTTGAGAAGACAGTACTGAGGTGGACTACATTATACAGCAGGGCTGTCAAACTCCTGGCCCATGGGCCATCCATCCATGCCCAATTTAGCAAAGGGGAAAAAAAAGTCCCGATATGTCATGTGACACCCTTGTTACAAAGCACTGTGTAAAGAGGCTCCTTATCTGTGACCTTGTGGGATTTAGTCTTTCTGCATTATATAAACATATGAACAATGGTTGCAGGAATTGGGTATGTGTAATTTAATGAAAAGAAGGACTAGGGGTGATATGTCTTCCAATATCTAGTCTTCCAATATCTAAGGAGCAGGGGTGGGCTTCAAAAATTTTAGCAAAAGGTTCTCTGCCCGGTTGCTGGGTGGGCGTGGCCATGGTAGGCGTGGCCTAGTTGGCTCCTGCACCATGGTGGGGGGTGTTTTTGTGAGCTTTTGCATTCCTTGCGACTCTGGGAGGGCGAAAATTGCCTCCCTGGGTTCTGGAGGCTCTCTGGAAGCTGGAAACAGGCCTATTTCTGGCCTTCCCATTTTTCACCCTCCCTGAGCCTCCACGTGCGTCCAAAACAGGCCACATGGGGACTCCTGGGAGGGGCGAGGTGGGGTGGGCGGGGCCAGCCAGGAGTGGGATTTGGGGGTTCTCTGAACTGCACAGAATCTTAGCTAGGGGCTCTCCTGAACCCCTGTGAACCCCCAGCAGCCCACCCCTGCTAAGGAGCTGCCATGAAGAAGGCGGGGGAGTGTCAACCTATTCTTCAAAGAACAAGAAGGAAACTAAACAGGGAGAGGCCCAAGCTAGAAATAAGAAGAAATTTCCTGACAGTTAGAACAATTAATCAGTGGAACAACTTGTCTCCAGAAATTGTGGATGCTTCATCACTGGAGGTTTTTAAGTAGAGATTAGATAACCGCTTGTCTGAAAAGGTACAGGTTTCCTGCTTGAGCAGGTATTCTGACCCCAACCTGGTTCCAAGAGAGCAAACACAAGACAAAGGCAGCAGCACAACCTTTTAATGTTTCATCTATGAATCCTGTTTCTTCACAGATAAAAGGTTGCTTCCAACTAATTAGCTCCGACAAGAAAGAGCCTTGCCAAGTTTTTGCAAGGCTGCCAAAAAACAACAGATAAGAAATAGCTTACAACACAAGAGACTTCAAATACCAACTGTAATGTCCACGAGGCTAAGATTCAAAATGTCTTTGCTTCCTGCAAAGAACGTTCGCTTCACAGCTGCCTTTTATCTTCTTGAAGGAGGGGCCATTACCTTGCAGCCTTACTCCCAAGTCTCCCCCACTGTTGTAGCTGCTCTTTCCTGCAAGCAATCCTGCATGCACACGCACTTGGTACAGGCTCCTTGGGAACCTCCTCATCGCTGCTGCCAGTCCCCATAATCTCTGAAGGCAGCAGTCCACTCCCTAATGGTCCTGGCCCCTCATCTGTGTCCTCGCTCTCCTCAGCCATCTGCACCTGCTGCCGGCTAACCACAAGAGCAGAGGTTTGGCCTAGAAGACCTCCAAGGGTCCCTTCCAACTCTGTTATTCTGTTAAATATTAGAACCCATCTGGTGCTTCTTGCCTAGCATTCTCTGAACATTGGCCGGGCAGGAGAAAACAACAACAGAAGACAGCTAGGTTGTTCAATGCGAGAAACTCTCTTCAGCTGCCCTGTCAATGAGGAACGTCTGCCAATAGCCCTGGGCTGTGCTTCCTTCAAAGGGCTATTGTAGGGCCTGAAATTCTTGAAGGGAACAAGGCAGGGAATACAAATGGAATCCATATCGCAATGTTCCAGATGCAGGAGAAAAAGAAAAAAAAAAGTGGGGGGCAAGCAGACACACACACACTCACACACAAACAGACACATTTATTATCACAGGGCTGTATTTGTGGTCTTGAACCCCAGCCTCGTCTCCTTCCACCCCGTCCCCAATACCTTGAAGAAGTTAATTCTTTTGTGTTTTGTCTGCCAGCCAACCTGCCTCTTGGCAGGTCCCGTCTCCACCCACCCTCTTGCATAACTTCATAAAGGGGAGAAATATTATGAGATTGGAGCTGTGGGTGACTCCTCTTCCTCGCCCCTCCCTCCCTTTGCAACAAAACGTCCAAACAAGCGCACACATGCTTTTCTCCAGACCTCCACCCACCCCAGATCTCTCTGGGGATCATTTGTTTGAAATCACTTGTAGTGTAGGGGAGGGAAAGGAGGAGGGGAGAGGGAGGAGCGGACTCACTGTTTGCTCAAACAACGCTTTTTCTCCACATGGCTCTGAACCTCCCCTGTTAATTTCTCATTCTAGTCCACAGCTGATTTCTAGGGGAACAAGTTAAGAGCAGAGGTGAGTGACTTTTCAGTTTGCCTTTTCCATGTTTGCTAACCTGACGGAACTTAAACATCTGGGCATGCGAGGGAACGCGAGCTGTAGTGTAAAGCCACCTTTAATTCCCCCTGATCATTAGTTTACTCAGTGGGGAAAAGCCAGGTCTTCCGGGGGGATTTACTCTCGGGTTTGTTTCGTTAGCGGCTTCAGCTGAAGAAAAGGAGCTGATTTAAAGGGTAGCTAAGCTTCCAATAAACTTTTTTCCCCTTCTGTTTGTAACTTTCCACCTAGAAAGTGAGAGGAGCCAAAGAGACAAGACAAGATCCTGGAGACATGGGAATTGAGGTGTGTGGGGGGGGAAGAGACTAATGGGTGTTTTGCAGCTCTGCACAGAACAGCATTGTAGGAGAGGCTGAGCTGCCAGCAGTGGCAAGGATTCAGGAGAAAGAGGCAGGAAGAGGCTGGCTCCTTCTGGAAAGGAGAGCTAGGATGGGATGCAGGCAAGCAATGCTCAAGAAAGTCCAGGTGGACAAATAAAGCAACAGAGACCACACGGATAAGTGGGATTGGAGATCCCAAAAACTTTAACCTTAGACTGTCTACTATTGACCTCACCCCTTTCCTAAGAGGTCTGTAGGGGGCGTGTATAAGTGCATCAATGTGTCTACCGTCCCTGTCCTATTGTTTATTTTTATTTCTCTTATATGTATCCATTTCATGCATTCACAACTATGTTTATACTTATACCTATTATCTTGAAAGCTATTGACAAATCAAATCAAATCAAATCAAATCAAATCAATCAACCAATAAATAAATAAATAAAACTGGGCTGGGAACTGGTTTGTCTTAGATTGAGAAATCATGCTGTCTTTCTCTGTGCCCTGCCACACTTGACAGATGTGTTTGGTTTCTTCCCCAAACCCCCAAAACTTTAACTTTAGACTGTCTACTGTTGACCTCACCTCATTCCTAAGAGGTCTTTAAGGGGCGTGCGTAAGTGCACCAGTGTGACTACCATCCCTGTCCTAATACTCCTTTTTATTCGTATCCATTTAATGTATTAATAATCATGTTTACACTTATATCTGTTAACTAATACAAGCTCGACAAAATGAAATAAAAAATAAATACAAATAAAGCAGGTTTTAAACTCGATGGCCATATTCCAAACTCAACAGAGCTAAGGGGAAGCAAGGAATGCTTCCACCCCATGCATCAAAGTCTGTGGGATGCCCACTTGACTTTCTAGCGTTGGCCAAGGGAGATGATCTTCCATCCGGCATAGCTTAAGAGAAGCTGCTCAGCGTAGATGACGTCCCTCAGGAGAAAGACTGACTGAGCCACCAATGAGTTATAATCGGGGAGCTGTTAATGCTGTTCCTGAGGCAGCTGCTTCTTTTGGCTAATGGTTGGGCTAGCTCTAGTTGGCTCTGACTGGCCTCATGTCCAAAAGGACCCATTTAGGATGGAAAGATTGAATCGGATGTTTGATACCAGTGTCTACCACTATTAACAGCTGTATTGTTCTGGTGTGATGGGAAATACTGTTATTATTGCACCTGTTTCAAGGATACAAGAAGAAATTCTTACATTTAAGATCTAGGAGAAGACAAGTGAAGATAGATTACTTCTGGTCTAGTGGATTACTTGTGATTTGTTTTCTTGAATGTAGGATTCTTTTAAATAACAGAGATGAATTATCATCCCATACATTTGTGTGTGTATTTAGGCGTGTATTCCCCCACCCCATAGTAGTATTTTTAAAAATTATTGAGATGGTAGCACGTGTAGCTCAATTTTACTGCAAAACATACTTTGAAAAACATTTTTGTAATTTTCTTGGGAGAGGGAGGTGACGCAGAACTGCATCGCAAAAGTTAGCAAAATACCAACTTTTAAATCTGTGCATAAGTATCCTGAATCTACATAGTGTCTTCCAGATGTATTTGATTATAATTGCCACATCTCCCAGTAAACACAACCAGCATCTGGAAGACTCTAGAGACAGAGGAGATTTTTTTGAGAAGGCATGGATCAAATGAGTTTTCAGTTCATACAGACAACTGTTTATGAATAACATATGGCTGGAGTACATGGGGGGGGGGAACATAACAGCCTTGGAAATGTTGGGGAATTGTCCCTTCCCATTGGTTCTGCTTTCAAGGGAATGCAAGTTGACACCTCAAATTCTGGACTGTATGATTCAAAGCTAAGAATAACTGAATATACCCTTGGAACTGAACTATTTGTATGCTGCTGGAGCAATTTTATCCTGCAACGTTAGCTTATATGCTTTGGATCCACCAGGATTTATCATTTAGAAACCAAAATCTGCTTATTTGCTAGATTCAGTGGGAACTGGTAGTGAGAATACAGAGAAATATGTTATAAATCTTTCAGCGCTTAGGCTAATCACACTATTACAAATTCCAGCCTTTGACTTATCTTTAAAAAGGTGTGTTACGCAGGATATTTGTTTTTTTCTGGAATAATTTGAACACTGAATATATGCTTGTCAGAATAACCTAGTCTAGTATTACTCAACCTCAGCCACTTTAAGATCTTCCCCATCCTGGCTAGGGAATTCTGGGAGTTGAAGTCTACATAAAGTTGCTGGGGTTGAGAAACACCGAACCAACCCATTAGAGAATTATGGCACTAGGTTCTTAAATATACATGCCCATGCAGAAGTAATTCAATGGAATGGCCTGTGACTATGGTTCAACTGAAGATTTCATCTGGCAAAGTATCTTTTTCCATAAGTGTCTCATCTCCATGCATTTCTATGCAGACGTCTGCTTAATAAGCTTCCATATACTTTATTGCTGCAGATTTATATATTTACTGGACTGCCTATGTCAAGGGTCTTCAAACTTGGCAAGTTTAAGACTTGTGGACTTCAACTCCCAGAATTCCTGAGCTAACATGACTGGAGGAGGAGTTCTGGGAATTGAAGTCCACAGGTCTTAAAGTTGTCAAGTTTGAAGACCCCCGGCCTATGTCCTAGGACTGTAGATAGCTCACAACACTCCATAAAAACATGGTTAAAAACAAAAGTCCCTTTCCCAAAATGCTTTAGCCTCCAGAAGGCTAAAAGGTAGGGATTCTTGGATTTCATATAGGAAGATGCTCCAAAGTCTGGGCAGAGGGGCAGCCACCAAGAAGGCAAGCTTCTGAGATCCCATCAGCAACATTTAAGGGAGGGGACCTGGAGCACATCCATTCTAAACTAGAAGGATGGACAGATATCCTCAAGGACAGGCAGTCCCACACATAATCTGGCTCTGTGCCATGTAGGTAGGGCTGTAAAGTTGGTAACCAGATCTTTGAACCGCATCCAGAAAGCAACTGGGAGCTGATGCATCTCATTCAGCAGTGGTGTTCCTTGGATGACCATCAGAGCATTCAAAACTGCCTTTTGGAACAGTTGCAACATCTGGATGTCCAAGGACAAACCATCTAGAGTGCATGGTACAAAGGCAAACAGAAGGTGACAAAAGCATGAATGGCTATGGACAAGATGTGCTGGTAAATTTGCAAGAGATACTTTAAATAATTTTGTGACTACTTTAAACAATAACCCACTCCCTACACGGCCTGGGTCCAGGGTATCTGAGCAGCTCTCTCTCCAGTGGTGGGATTCAAAAATGTTTATTACCAGTTCTGTGGGCGTGGCAGGGGAAGATTTCTGCAAAATCTCCATTCCCTCCCCACCCCACTAACCTGCTTTCCAGCTCTACTCTCCTGTGCAGGCCAACAAAAGAAGACCTAGACAATCAGCTGGAAATTGGGAGGCAGGGAATAGGTGGGGGCAGGGCCAGTCAGAGGTGGTATTTGCTGGTTTTCTGAACTACTCAAAATTTCCACTACCGGCTCTCCAGAACTGGTCAGAACCTGCTGAATAGTACCTCTGCATCTCTCCCTTGATGGGACAGCCTCCCCTACTTGTGCCAGTGGAACCTTTTGGATCTCAGGGACCACCAAACTCATAATTTTAAATCCCGCGAACCACTAATGTGAATTTTGATTGACAGTGGCTTGCTGACGTTGGTGAGAAAGTTGGTCCCAAATTCCAGAGCTGCAGTAGTCACAAGACGGGCCTTTGGTCATCCTGGAGTTCTGCAGAAAAAGCAGAAGCAGCAGAGACCCTGGGAAAATCCCCCCAAAAGACTGCAGGAAAATTGCCCACCCCGTTTCCTACTGATTGATCATTCTTTATTTGGCATCGCAGGATAGTATTTCCAGATCTGTTCTCAGGGAGAGAGGGAGGGAGGGAGAGGGAGAGGGAGAGGGGGGAGAGAGAGAGACTTTTGGCTTCATGCAAGGAAAGCAGCAGAAGCAGCAGAAAGTCTGTCTTTGTCTCCCCCAAACTCTGCCAGAAATGAGTCTTTATGAGACTTGTCACACAGGCACAGCCTCTTGGAGCAGGATGCCTTACAGGGTCCCAAAGCCTCATTTGTGGCAGAGTTTACGGGAGAGAAAGAAGGACTTTTGCTGCTTTCCTTGCATGCAGCCAAAAGCAGAAGAAGAAAGAAGCAGAAAGAAGCAGTCCGGTGGCCAGGTTCCCGCCTCCGTCCTTTCCCCCCACCCCTCATTACCTTGTGTTGTTCGCAATGCAAGTGACACAAGACTTGTGTTTCCATGGGCCATGTGAGCAGCACAGCCTTGTGTTCCCATGCAGCCTGGATTAATTGCTTTGAGGGGTGCTTTGGGAGCGACATTTCTCTGTGGACCACCAGTGGTCCCCAGCCCACTGGTTGGCAACCAATGACCTTGTAGGGGAGATGGACAGCATAAAAGTTTATAAATAAATAAATGGAAAATCACTTTAATCTATGTAAGTTCTTACAGACACTTTGTAATGAAAAGCAAAGTTGCTACAATCCTCCGGATTTCTGCTGTATCTTCGTCAGACTTGGACTTTACTACTGGAGTTGTGCCAGAGCCAGGACTGGCAGTCCTGATCTAAACATTGTCTCTCTTGCTTCCAAAGAGATCCAAGTGGGTATTAGCTT